CGACCCCTCCTTGGGTTTCCGAGGCAGTATCACTACGGAAGTAGGATTGCCCAACCTTCGTTCCGAGGAGTGGCTGGTGGGTTTGAACCGCCAGCCTTCTGGTTAGCAGGCAAGTGTCTTAGCCACTAATTAATTAAAAAAAAAAAAAAAGATGTTGGCCAAATACATAAAAGGAGGGAGAGTGAGACAAAAAACAGGCTGCAGTAAACAGCCATATATGACAGAGTGAAATCAGAAAACACTCAGGGATTCTAATAAGTATTTCAGTATTCCTTGGACATAGGATGGAATGGAGAAAGCAGCAAGCGATTGAGCTGGACACTTAAGCATATTTACTGGTGACAAACACAACTGAAAAAGCAAACCCACTAAAATTTTACAAAAATCACATAAATTTATCTTGTCAAACACTCATTCTCTGTAGTGAATATGGTCAAACATACAACAAGAGAAAACAAAGAGGAACAAATCTTATTTGGACAACCAAGTACCACATCACCACTATTCAATTAAAAAATGAAAATGTTAAAATCTAACTTAAGAAGCACTGTAGCTTTTGAAAGATAAGGAGGCAATATACCGTAAGAGCTAACTGGTGTACCAATCCCTATTACCTAGTAACCCCAGTTTAGGAACTATCTCAAGGGAATTAATTGAAATGGGAGGCGGGGAGGGAAGAGGGAATCTTGTGAAAGTATATTTATAATTAAGATCTCCATACAAAGGAAAATAAAAGCAAACCTTGTGCTTAATAAAAGATTAAGCAAACTATGGTATATTATGATGACATTCTATCACTATAAAAATTATATAGGTAGAACATTGATACATGAGAAACTACAAAGACAAAATAATATTCATATATAAGATTATATTCATACATAATATTATATATAAGATTATATCTGTATAACATTTAGAAAAATACATTATAATACAATAGGTTCTCAATAGGGGTTATCTCTGAGAGTCCCCAATGATATTAAACAGGGATGCATGAGCTGTTTTCTCTGTTTCAAAGAGCTTACTGAAAATTACTCTTATGTATAATAAAGATGCATAGACTAATCTTTCACCTTCTTTGTTTTGGTTAGATTAACTCAGGGGGAGTAATAAGCAGTTGAGAGGCACATGTTACATGTCAAATGCGTTACATGTCTTTAATTAAAAAAATATGTAATAAACAATGTATTACTTAATATAGTTTATGATTGTAATTCAAAATATGAGCCCATGAAGGCAGAAACAACAACATAAAAAATGGTCTTTTAGAGTAAAAAGGTCACAAAATAATATTAAAATATAGTTGTAACCATGATTTAAAACAAAACAAGAAGAAAAAGTAAGTTGTCATTTTCACGATTCACACTTACCAATCCTTCAGCTGGATTCTGGTTCTCAACTAATTTGTTATCCTTTGTACAGTCATCTTCTGAACAAAAACTGCTTTCTGGTTTTTGATTTATAAGGGAAGATGACTTTTTATTTTTCAACAAGTGTTTCAGAAGTTCGTTCCCTGCATCTCCTTTGGTAGCAGGGCCTCCAACCAGATGAGGAGGGCTCTGTGCTGAGGAGATAGGATGGGGTACAGCTTTTTCTTCTACCTTATTACTGGTTTGTTCTTCCAATTTAGGCTTGTCTTGGCCAGGGCATTCCTCTGTTTCAGTCTGTTCTAGTTTTACCTCTTCAATTTCAGCAGGGGTTTCCATGGAGAATTTATCCATGTCTGGATTTGCGTGAGTCTGTTGATTTGGAGTCCCTTGTGAACAATCACTACTGAGCAGTTTGCTTTCTGATTCTGCATACAACTGGCCAGCTACTGCATTAGGGGTTGGTGGGCCTACTGGTTCCACAGACTCTTGTTCTACTTGCTGAGGAAGCTCATTGGGTGTGTTCACTATAGGAGTAGAGGTAGTTTCTGAGATACTTGGAGTTGGGGGAGCAGTTACATCTGAATGGGGAGTTGATGGTGCCTTGGTGGATTCTGTATCATCATCTTTTTTCTTTTTTCTTGTTCTTTTCTTTTTCCCTTTCTCTTCTGGAATTATGTCAGAATACAATTGAATGAGAGACTGGTTTGATCCTGGGTAATTTTGTCCATGGGTTACAGCAGGGTCTTGGCCACATGGAAGACCACTATTAGCTACTGAAGATGCTTCTGTCAATGTAGGTGTAAAAGGAGGCCTCACTTGGGACTGCTGGAAGCTGGTTCCGGAAAGACTTCCATGAATCTGCTTAACAGAATGGAAATTTGGGCTTCCACCAGGAATTGATGGTGTATCAGGAATAAATGAGGGAGGTCCTACCTGTCTTCGCTCATTGGTTTGCATGAAAGTATGGGTAGTGGGAGAATTCACAGATCCTTGTTGTATATTTTGCTGCTGTAAAACCTGTCCCATTTGCTGTTGGTGTTGTGGAGACTGCTGAAGGGATCTTGAAGGTTGCATATAATCACAAGATAAATCAGAACTATAGAATGGAATCTGGGACACAGATGTCCTACTACTGAGCTCTGAGCCCATCATGCCATGTTGCTCCATTTCCATCCTTTGCTGCAAAGCTCTTTGTATGTCTACTTCTTGCATGAGTTGGATTCGTTGTCTTTCCTGTTGTTCTCGTAAACGTTCCTTACGTTCCCTTTCTTGAAAACTTTCACTGAAGGGGTTATTGTCATCAAATTCTACTCGTGGTGGTGGTCCACTCTGTGGATTTGTGTTTGATACTGTCCCTGGGGCTGGTGTGCAAGTTTTTATCGGTAACTGGGCAATTGGGGGTGGAATCCTAGGAGGATTGAGGGGCAGGTGAGCAGAAGCATTGGTAGGCTGCCAGCCAGGTAAATTGGGCATTCTAGCAGGGCTGGTATGGCCAGGAATGACTGTTGTGTGTTGCTGGTGCTGTAGCTGCTGTGGCACCATAGGGAAGTTGGGTTGGCTCATGGAGGGTGGAGTGGCTCCTGGAACAAGAGGTGGCTGGGGCTGGACACCAGGCATTATGGGAGGTGGGGCCATTGCACACTGCTGCTGCTGCTGTTTGATGCGATAATCTTCAATCAGTTCTGCATGCTCTTTCTGTTGTTTACGAATCTGGAATAATAAAATTAATCATTACTTATTTACATATAATATAGATATCCAACTAAAATACCGGTTGATGATAATGGAGGGGGTCATATAGAAAGCAATTAAACTCTAGAAGCAAAAATACTTTGTTTACGCAATGATGAAAATCACACACACACACACACAAAATGGAATGTTAAGTCTTAACCAAGTATTTCTCTCTAAATATTCTTTAAAAGGAGCTCTGGTCACGTAGTACCTAGGGCATATGACTGCCAACCAGAAGGTTGGCAGTTCAAACCCATCAGTTGCTCCGTAGAAGGAAGATGGGGCAATCTACTTCCATAAAGATTTACTGCCTTGCAAACCCAGTGGGTGTTGCTATGAGTTGAAATTGCCTCAATAGCAGTGAGCTTTTCTTTTTATCTATTACCAAAAAAAACAAACTCACTGGTGTCAAGTCGATTTGACTCATAGCAACCCCTCTTGGGCTTCTGAGGTGGTATCTCTACGGAAGTAATTGCCCAATCTTCCTTCCGAAGAGTGGCTGGTGGGCTTGAGCTGCCAGCCTTCTGGTTAGCAGTCAAATGGCATAGGCACTACAACACAGAGCTCCTTATATATTCTTTAATGATAGGATTTTTGTAAAGGCTTCTATAAAACTTCTTTATAAGTGAAACACCAAAAACAGAAATTCCAAAAATGTTTTTCTGGAGTAAAAACAATTAAGAACATCTTATGCTTGAAATTATAGACTATTTAAACTATACATCTCAGAGTAGGATAAAAGAATAAACAAAAGTTACAAAGTAAGCAATTAATTATGATGCCTTAGAAGTGATTAATATATAAGATTAGAATAAGTGAGATTTAACTCCCTTAAGCACTTAAACATGTTATTTCATTTTTAAAATGCAAAATCGTGTAATATTTTAAAATGAGGTGAATAAATAGCTACTTCATTAGCACATATATTATACTCCTCCCCTATGTTAAAAAGACTGTATTTGAAAAACTCTTTGAATTTACCAGACTCAAATTATAATTCCTGAAATCCATATAAGCTGCAAGTTACTATTTTCAATAGTTTCTAGATAGGATCCTAATAACGACTGGGTTGTGTAGGTTAATTCATTCATTTAAAAAAAAAACAAAAAACAAATAAAAAACTTCTAAGCTCCCAATATGTGCCAGCTACATAAAAATGCAATCCATATCCTTGAAGAACTCACTATCTCATTTAGGGAGATAGGGCATGAAGGGATACATTATGACATCTAGTCTTTCAAAGCCTTTCTTTTTTTTAAAAAAATAATTATTATACAATTATACTGAACCCAGTCATGCCAAAAGTTTTTCCAATTTATTTTCTTTGGTTTTCCAGACAGATTAGCAATATTATCTGTAAATAACGGTGTCTGGACTCCTCTCCAGAGTTACATAACTCTGATTTCCTTGTCTTTCCTGACAAGCCTGCTGGCCAGAACTGAGGAATTAACACTTTGATTGGTAGAGCAAGTACATGGTAAAAATATTTTTAAAAGAATATTTAGCTGTGATAATTATGGACCCAGAGAGTGAATTTAAAAAGAAACCTCTCATTCTGGTTTTAACAGTTGTTGTTGTTGTTATTTGCTGTCGAGTCGCCCCCGACTCATAGCGACCCCTCCTTGGGTTTCCGAGGCAGTATCACTACAGAAGTAGGATTGCCCAACCTTCCTTCCGAGGAGTGGCAGTAGGAATTACATAATAATCACCTTATTTGTTGATACATTGTTGAGTTAACTCCAGGACATCCGAATCCAATTACTAGCTATGAAAGAACATGTCACCCACCCTCTACAATGACTTATCAGTTTCATTTGTAAGATGGGGACGATACCAACTCCTTCAGAAGCTTGTAGAGAAGGTTAAATAAGACAATGTATTTGAAGGTGCTTGCACAGAAAGCACTCAAATTTTTATTGTGTCAATCAACTCTGAATCCCACCCTTTCTATTAACATTTTTTTTTAAAATTTAAAATTGAAATATAGCAAAATTGACTTTTTTTCATCAGTGCACAAATTCTATGAATTATATACATGTACATTTTTCTTTTTTTTAAATTGTGATTTGGGTGAAAGTTTACAAAGCAAACTCACTTTCCATACAGCAGCTCACATACACTTTGTCTCATGACACTGACTGCAATTTTCCACAATGCAACAGCTCCCCCCCCCACTTCTTCCCCATAGTTACCTCTTCCCTGTGTCCTTCTGTGTCATGCACTCCTGCTGCCTGAGCTGTCTCCCTGTGCACACATAGCCCATCTATTCTCTCATGACTGATCTCTCCAAGGAGTGTATCTACCTTAATACATGCCTGTCTTTTGTTTGGCTGGAAGCCATGGGAGGGGGTTCAATTCCAGACCTGAAGGGCAGCTAGGGACCATAGTATCAGTTGGTTTCATCAGGCACTATCAGATCAGCAAACCTGGTGCTCCCCTCACCCCCAATAATTTTGAGTTTTGTTCCATATTATTCTTCCACTCTGTCCAGGATTTCTTATATAGATCCCCCTCCAAGTGATTGACAGTAGTAGCCGGGCACCATCAAGTTCTTCTGGTCTCGCAGTTGTATACATGGTATAACAGTCATCTGGACTAATTGTTTCCATGTGTCTATGGTTTTCTTCATTATTCTTTGCTCTGGACGAGGAGAGACCCATCATTGCATCTAGATGGCTGCTTGCAAGCTTTTAAGATCCTAGTCGCTACTCATCAAAGTAGGATGTGGAACAATGCTTTTGAATTATACACATGTAGATTTTTTGAGTAGCTATCACCATTAACAGGATATAAAAGAGTCCCACCATTCCAGAAGACTCCCTCATGCTGCCTTTTTGTAGTCAAATCCTCCTACCCTCATCTCTAACCCCTGCTATTCTATTCTCCATCTCTAAAATTCTATAATTTCAAGAATGTTATATAAATGGTACCATACAGAATGTAACCTTTTGGGATTGGCTTCTTTCATTCATCATAATGCTCTTGAGATCCACTGAAGTTATTTCATGTATCAATAGTGTTCTGGTTACCTAGTGCCACTTTGACAGGAAACATACCACAAATGGGATGGCCTTAACAAACAGGAGTTTATTCTTACAATTTGGAGGCTTTAAGTCCAAGTTCAAAGTGCCAGGTTCTAGGGGCTGGGTGAAAGCCCCTCAACCTTGGGGTCCAGCTCTGCCTCCTGCTCCCGGCCCATGGGAGCTAAAGGCATTTCTTCACTCAGACAGCTGCTGGCTGCTGAGGCTGAGAAGCCCCAAAGTTGACAAGTAAAAAGGCACAGTCCCGATGTTACCAAACCACATGGCAGGCCATTAACTTAAGTCCATTGTAAGTCCCAAGGTTGGCAGAGCATAGCAGGTTGCTGAGCAATGACATGGCTACATGCAGGGTCCAAGTGTGCCACAGTCTAGAGACCATTCCCAAGGTTTCTCCTTATATACAGGAAGCAGACCACATCCCAAAGGCAGCTTATTCAGCTGCTTGTGGTAGGTCTCACCATGGAGCTGATTGCCAGTCTCATCATGGGGAATAACTACCACCAGCTGCCCAGCCACTCAACCAGGCCCAGCCAAGTTGACAAACAAACATAACCACCACACCCCTCAACCTTGGGCTTCAGCTCTGCCTCCTGCTCTCAGCCCACTGGAGCTAGAGGCTTTTTCACTCAGCTGCTGGCTGCTGAGGCTGACAAGCCCAACTGGTGAGTGGGTTGCCTTTAGCATTAATTGGCAGAAGCGGAGAGACTAAGGAAAGGGGAAGCAGAGCTGCCTTAGCCTCAAAGGGTAGGACCATGGCCTCTGGGGGTTGAACCACCATAGCCCCCTAGCCCAAGTAATAAGCCACAGTCCTGATATTACCAAACCACACAGCAGGGCGTTAATTCAAGTCCATTAAAAGGCCCAAGATTGGCAGAGCATGGCAGGCTGCTGAACAATGACTCAGCTACAGCCAGGGTTCAGGCATGACATAAGCTAGAGACCATACACAAAGCTGGTACTTATATACAGAAAATAGACCACATCCCTAAGGCAGCTACTCAGCTACTCACAGTACATTCCATCATGGAGTTACCAGTCTTGTCATGGGAAATACTTCAACCAGCTGCCCAGTCATTCAACCAGGCTCAGCCAAGTTGATACACCAACTTAACTACCACAATTCTACCCCTTGTCAACTTGGCACCTGTGCAGATCTTCATTGGGTGGCACTGTACAGATCTCTCTCACTGGGTGGCTCTAATGCCCTAGTTCCTGAGTGGGGACCTCACCCCTTTGGCCTGGTGGGCCCCGTTCCTCTACCTCTTGGGCATGGTTGCCCTGTCCCCTCTCTCTTGGGCATCAGTTATGGCTCCATCCTACTGGCCCACATGAAAGAGCAGCCCCACACTCCAGAACCAAGTTGGTGAAGGTCTGGCTCTTTGAAACCTAGGGGGATATGGTGGTTTCACCCCCAGAGGCCATGGTCATACCCTTTGAGTCTGAGGAAGCTCTGCTTCCCCTTTCCTTGGTCTCTCTGCTTCTGCCAATTAATGCTGAAGGCAACCCACTCACCAGAAATCTTCCTGCCCAAAAAGCACTCAGCTTTCTTGCTCTGTGGGCTGCCCAACCTGCTAGTCCATTTCATGCTGATCTCTTCCACCAGTTAATGCCCACAGGCAACCCACTCTGCTAGGAAGCTGCCTGAGCAATGGCATCCAGTTTTTTCCTCCATGGGCTGCTAAAAGGTGTCGCTGTCTCATGCCGATTCTCTTGGCTCCGCTCCTGCTGTCTCTCATGCCACATGCCAGCGTTTCTCTATTTCTCTGCTGGGGTCTTGGGTCGAGGATGCACTCCATTCCTGCTTCCACATTTTAGGTATCTGTCAGAGCAGCACCCCACTCTCTCGGTACCATAATCTGTTTTCGTTACCTAGTGCCGCCCTGAGAAGAATATACCACAAATGGGATAGCTTGAAGAAACAAGAGTTCATTCTCTTACAGTCTGGAGGCTTTAAGTCCAAGTTCAAAGTGCCAGGCTCTAGGGGTTGGGTGAAAGCCCCTTAACCTTGGGCTTCAGCTCTGCCTCCTGCTCCCGGTCCACTGGAGCTGGTGGCTTTTCTTCACTCAGCTGCTGGCTGCTGAGGCTGACAAGCCCAAGGTTGACAAGTAACAAGGCACAGTCCCAATAATACCAAATCACATGGCAGCCCATTAATTCAAGTCCATTAGAAGTCCCAAGACCAGCAGAGCATGGCAGGCTGCTGAACAACTCCTTGGCTACATGCTGGGTTCAAGTGTGGCATAAGCTAGAGACCACTCTCAAAGCTGTTTCTTATTGACAGGAAGCCGACCACATCCCTAAGGCAGCTACTCAGCTACTCACAGTAGATGCCACCATGGAGCTGACTGCCAATCTCATCATGGGGAATATTACATCCAGCTGCCCAGCCACTCAACCAGGCTTAGCCAAGTTGACACACAAACTTAACTACCAAAATATACCAACGTATTTTAAGATCAAAACATGGGAGGGGAGGGGAAAGAGGGGAGGAAACAATAGATATCAAACAAGTATTCCCTAAAAATTAACAACTATAACAGCTCAAACGCTATATATATCCTTAACTATAGCAGGGATGCTGAAGAGTATGAGAACCATTCTTTTAAATTAGAATTATGAGAGTTAATCTCTTCAATGGCATTTATTAAGTATGTGCTATGTGACTACTACTCTAGGGAAAAGACTGGGACTGTTACTCCTTTGGTTAATAACAGGTCTCAGACCTGTCCATTTTGGCCATGTATTTTGGTATGCCATTTGCTACTAATCATCAATGCTTACATTAATGAATAACACACAAAAAACATCCTATTCATTAATTATTGATGGTTTCTATTTTGCACACTTATTACCTGTTCCAACTGTTTCTGAACCATGCTTTGCTGCTCAGTAACATGCTTGAGTTGTTCTGCATCCTCTTCTGGAAACTCACGCCCAGCTTTCTTGGCAGTACGTTGCTTAGCTGAAAGGGCTTTCTTAGATTTTCTGTGTGCACCAATTTGTTCTTCAAGATATTTCTGCTGCATCTGAAGAAGCTGCTGGGTCTCCTGAAGCCATTCTTCATACTGTTTACGTTGTGAATCATCTGAAGAAAAAAAATTTACAATTCATCTGTGTTAATTTTCTAAAGAGTCTAACATTATAAAAGATACACAAATCCATTTTTTAAGGAAATGCAGTTGCACCATAACCTTTGAGTAGATAATTTTAAAACACTGTACTAAATATTAGGCTAATATGTAATTATGAAGTAGATTTTAGAAAAGCAATTTTCAAAGTCAAAGAACACATATCCTTAGGATACTTAATAAATACTATTAGTCCAACTTTAGAAAAGCAGAGGCTTTTATCTACTGACATGTTTTTATCTAATGAGCTATCAAACTCTCTAGCCCCAAATGCAAACTATTGAGTTATATTATTTTATTAATTCAGCTTAACAGATTTTGAAGAGATAATTTTCTCAATAAAATTAAGACATATCCTATAAAAGTCCAGAGCATGGATTAAGTAATCATTTCCCATGCTGTTTTTCCTTAGTTTGTAAGATTTCCCTATTTCTTTATATTAAAGGTCCTAAACAGAAAGGAGAGAACCCAAAATGTTTTAGAAAGGACTAATTCTGTGTTTTATTTAGAGCAAATTCTTAAGTTGATAACACTGGTAATTTTTATAATTTATAGTTCTATAAATAGGCAAAGGGGAAAATAATCAAGTAAAAATTTTTGCACTTTTATGATGGCCATTAATATCCCCACAGATAGTTATCTCTCTTTATCTTGTAACATATTCTCTCTTTATTCTGTAAGGGTACTTTATTGCATGGACACTAACTCTATTAAAAAAAAAAAGTTATCTTATGGTAGTGAAATTCTGAATGTAACTCGACTCACTACAAGACAGATAAATGAATACAATTCTAGGAAGGACATTAGCTGAAAAATAACATCAATGATAACAGAATATTGTCATACATTAAGAATCCAACCAAAGCCAATGGGCACAATAAAGCCAGAAAAAGCCAGTTGGTTACAGTATTTTCCTTGTTTTTAATGCAAATATATATTCAAATTATAATAATAATTAATGCAGGGGGGATTTCAAAAGGTCAGACTTTGGGTTTGTTCCTAAACCCAGAAGTTCCAGCATATGTATGAACTTGAAATCCTTGAAATCTAATCTACTAAATTTGAAGGGCATTTTTCAAGAACAGGCTTTTTCACAAGATTTCAGAAGTTCTGCTTCTGGTAGAATGAGACCTACCGCAAGGAAAGCCTTTCTGGTTTCTGGAACCAGGAGAGCAGAGGTGAGCAAAATGAAAAATAATGTGAAAAAAAAGTTAGCTAAACAGTCTGAAGATTTCAGAAAGGTTTAGTTTGGGGAGAACTTTAAATACTATCCTGAACCACCTTGGGACCCCTGAAGATAACTAGAAAGGATTCAACGACGCATTGCATACTTGACCTTCACACCATGCTGCTAAACCCAACTTATTTCTATTTCTAAGAATATTCCCTTTGCTCTTCCCATTTAGGGTCCTTGTCACTCTAGGATAGAAAGACAGCCTTGAGAACAAGAAATGGCCCAATTCTATAGACTGTAAAGAGCCCAATTTATATTTAAAAACAAAAGCAACCACAATATTGAAGAAAATTGGGAAGATAATTTTTCTATATTAAAATACTAATTTTAAACTATATCTCTTCATGCACAGCAAAAAATAAAAACAAAACAAAACAAAAAACACAATGAAAATACATGCCTTGAAGAAAAGACAGCCTAATAGGGCAGTGATGTGAGATAAAAATGAGGGCACGTAGGCCTAAAATAACACAGCTAAGCTAACTCCAAGTTTTCAGAATACAAATATAGTGCAAACAAGCAACCCCAAGAAAACATGTAACTTATTAGATTTATACTTACTGGCAAAGCCTGGACCAAAATTTGGAGGATTAGGCCTAGAAATCTGATGTGTTATACTGCCATCCTAAAATAAGTAAAATTTATAAATAGGTTTATTACACATTTCAGTTAAAAGGGAAAAATAATTTTAAAAATATGAAAAAAAAAGAGAAAGAAAAAAGAAATGGAAGAGGAAATAAACTAAACAAACTTTAATTTCCTAAAACTAATCTTTAAAGCTTGCGTTTTCATAAAAAAATAACGTGAATTTAGTGGTGAGAACTTAATTTCTGAAAATTTATAACTATACCTTAATGATTTTATTTTCTAGGTTTCAGCTGAATAACAATTATGTTTAAGATAAAGGATTATTCAATAAAAATATAATTTCAGGGCAAATTAGTTATTGCTAATATTAAGCTAGAGTTCCATCTACTTTTTGATGAAATTTGTCTGGTTTCTTCTGCATCTAGACTCATTTAAATGAAGTTTTAGATCTTACAAAATTCTATAGCACAAAATTATTTATTACTTATAACAAGAATTAATATCTCTAAAATGCACAAATAAAAAAATACAATTTTTAATATTTGAATTACAAATATTAATCTTATTTTCTAATTAAATGTCTTATTTATTCCAGGATAACTAAGTAAATAGTTATTAATCACACAATTCTTTGGCAACAGTCTGATAAGTTTACCCAGTTGTTATAAGTGCTGTTAGACATGAGCTGTATATAATCAATGGCTATAAATGAAAACAGCAGCCAAAATGCATTATGTGAAATCCTTATAACACTGCAAAGCGGAAGGTATACTATTTAACAGAGCAAAAAACAGAGGCTTATGAAGTTGGCCAATGTCACCCAGTAAATTCATAGTAGAATAAGGATTTTTTTTTTAACTCAGTTACAAAGTCTATGCTTTCCCCCGTGTTGTTATGTGCTGTCGAGTTGGACCTGACTCATAGCGACCCCTCCTTGGGTTTCTGAGGCAGTATCACTACGGAAGTAGATTGCCCCATCTTCCTTCCTAGGAGTGGCCAGTGGGGTTTGAACCGCCAGCCTTCTGGTTAGCAGTCAAGTGCCTTAGGCACTACGCTACCAGAGCTCCTTTTCCCCTTGTAGTAGATGGTATTTCTTATTTTAATAATGAAAAGAATGTAATTATCAGTATAGTGAATCTGAAGTATAACTGACAGGGTAAGAAGGGAAATTTCCCAGAGACATAGTGTAGGTAGCTTTCTCTTTTTTCCTAGACAGATACTTAAAAAAAAAAAAAAAAAAAAAA